CAAAAGACAAAAAGGAAGTTGCAGAAAAGATGTACGGAAACCAAAGTTCTGAGGGGAACCACTTAACAGGGGAGCTGGAGAATTGCTCTAGTTTACCAAGTGCAGATATCAATATCTTATTGGACACAGATGATTGCCACAGAAAAGAAGTATGTTCAAGGTGTGGGAAAATACTCGGAGACGAATCGGGATTATGTGACTGTTGCCGAAGCCCTGCTGGAGGAGAGAAACAAGATGAAAGCAGGCAACGCTCCAGAAGGACCCTTCCTCTTTCTTTACATCAGAGAACACAAGAAAGAGGGAAACCGTACAAATGTACAGAGTGTGCAGAAAGCTTTGTTACAAGCCGCTCCCTTGCATCACATAAAAAGATTCATAGAGCAGAGGATCCACACACATGTCAGGATTGTGGAAAGACCTTCAGTCAGAAAAGTCACCTGAATTCACATCAGAAGGTCCACAAAGGGAGAAAGCAGCATCAATGCATCAAGTGCGGAAAGAGCTTCGGAAGCAGAGCCTCCCTTACTTCCCATCAAAGCATCCACAGAGAGGAGTCGTTGTATCAACGCAGGCAGAGTAGAACGAGGGTTACCTGGAGCAAGGAACTGAGTTCCTGGAAAAAAAGCCCCATTGGGAATGATTCATGTAAATGCCTGGAATGTGGGAAGAGCTTTCGCTTTGCAAGTGACCTCACTTACCATAATAGGATCCATACAGGGGAAAAGCCGTACCATTGCACGGTGTGTGGAAAGAGTTTCACCCAAAAAGGTAATTTCAATTTACATAAGAGGATCCACACGGGAGAAAAGCCGTATAAATGCACAGAGTGTGAAAAATGCTTCCGTACCCCCGGTGCCCTTACTTGCCATAAGAGGATTCACACGGGGGAGAAACCCTATGAATGCTTGGAGTGTGGAAAAAGCTTCAATAGACGTGATTCACTAATTAAACATAATAGGATGCATAAAGGGGAGAAACCTTATAAATGCCTGCACTGTGGAAAAAGCTTCAGTCAAAAAGTTCATCTTCAGTCACACGAGAGGATCCACACGGGGGAAAAACCATTTCAATGCATGGAGTGTGGAAAGAGCTTCCATTTCTCAACAAACCTTATTGCCCATCACAGAACCCACACAGGGGAGAAGCCCTTTCAATGCCTACAGTGTGGAAAGTGCTTTGCCAGTTCTGATAGCTTTCATGCCCACGAACGGATCCACACAGGGGAGAAACCGTACAAATGCCTGGAGTGTGGAAAGAGCTTCCGTAAATCCACCCACCTAACTTCCCATAACAATATCCACACTGGAGAGAAACCGTATCAATGTACTGAGTGTGGAAAGAGCTTCCGTAAATCCAGTCACCTAAATTCCCATAAAAATATCCACACTGGAGAGAAACCGTATCAATGTACTGAGTGTGGAAAGTGCTTCACCAGCTCGTCACAATTTACTTGCCACAAAAGGCTCCACACCGGGGAGAAACCATACGAATGCCGCACGTGTGGAAAGAGCTTCAATGACAAACATCGCTATATCGTACATAGCAGAACCCACACTGGGGAGAAACCATATCAGTGCCCGGAGTGTGGGAAACGCTTCAATGAGTCTCAAGAACTGACGATCCATAAAAGGATTCACACAGGAGAGAAACCGTATAAGTGCATGGAGTGCGGCATGAGTTTTAGAAGAAGTGGTTACCTTTGTAGCCACAAGAGGATCCACACAGGGGAGAAACCATACGCATGTAACGAGTGCGGAAAATGTTTTAGTCAAAATCATTCACTCAGTAACCATAGAAGGATTCACTCAGGTAAGAAACCCTATAAATGCCTGGAGTGTGGAAAATGTTATAGTGTGAGTCGCATGCTTACCTGCCATATGAGGATCCACACAGGAGAGAAACCATTTAAATGCATCGACTGTGGAAAGAGTTTCCGAGGCAGCAGGAATCTTACGATTCATAAAAGAATCCACACAGGGGAGAAGCCATATCAGTGTGTGGAGTGTGGAAAGAACTTCAGAACCAAAAGCGACTTTAATCGCCATAAGAAGACGCACAGCAGGAAAAGACCACATTAATTAGCTCATGTTGATTCTCAAAATTCACTTAATGCCCATAGAATCTGTAGAAATGCGTGGAATATGGGAAGGGCTTCCAAAGTAGCAGAAGCTTTTTGACCCATTAAAATGAGTTGTGTTGTATAACTAGGAATTAACTTTTGGATAGAATAGGGGAGGGGAGGGGAGGATAGTATAGTATGGGATGGGATGGGAGGGGATGGAAGAGAACAACCAAATGTGATTGGACACACAAGGAATTGGTCTCTGGCACATAAGCTCTAAGAAGCTCATGCATACAAGTGATCAACTTTTGTCAAAGTGAACACCAAAAATATGTAGGGATTTGGAAACTTAACACATC